TTTATATACATACTGCTATTCAGACTATGTGCTGGGGGGGGGGCTAATGACGCAAATTGATGGCCGAAGACCGGAATCGCCCGCTGAAGGGAATCAATGAGAGTAGAGGTTATCGCGCCACAGAGAAGGAGATTCGTCCAGGATGGATAGCGGGGAAGAGATCCGGGATGGATAGTGGGCAGAGAGTTGGGATGGATAGAGGGGACGGACAGAAACGCTGACTTCAAGCTCAGCCATAGGTTCAGTCCTCCTGCCCGAAAATATGTTGTTATCCTCACTTTTCTGGTAATTGAGAAACACATCCAAAATACCATTTACCATTTAGCGTGTCAAAAATTCAAAATTGTGTCTGTGGCTAACATAATTAGTGTGCCGTGCTTAACTTTTGCATAAAAATGTGTTTGACTCTTCTAGCATAGGAGGTATATCTCCTCTTATAAATTTATAAACAAGTAGAGTGAAGCAGTTGTGGAACGCTATTCATTCAGTCACACGAAAGGATGCATGCGGTGTAGAGTCATGTTGGGTACTAATAGATAGCGCGGGACGAGATACGGAGTTGGACTGTGCAATAAGGCACTTGGAGTGTAGTCGTTAGGATGGATAGGCCTGAGCAATTCTGAGAGTTTGTGTTATGATGTAGATATGCAGTGGATTTTTAGCAGTTGGGATGTTATGACGGCGGAGAGAGTCTAGAGAAGTATGACGGAAAGATTATTAGCGGGGCCGTCGGTAGAGAGTTGGATGGATAGTGGGATAGAGAGAGTTGTGCGTATGGATTAGCGGGGAGAGAGTTGGGATGGATAGCGGGGAGAGAGTTGGGGATGGATAGCGGGGGAGAGAGTTGGGATGGATAGCGGGGAGAGAGTTGGGATGGATAGCGGGGAGAGAGTTGGGATGGATAGCGGGGAGAGAGTTGGGATGGATAGCGGGGAGAGAGTTGGGGACAGACGATGGAGGAACAGTAATAGACGGTTAGGGGGTGAAGTGGTGGTAGATGGCCGGGTGGAGACGTGGAACGGATAGATGGTCCGTAAGAGGTAAGGATAGACAATGACAGGGAAGAGCAGAAACAGATGGTCAAGGGAAGAGGGTAGAAGGACGATAGGGGGACAAGTAGGGATCGATGGTGCCGGCAAGGAATGAGTGGAGACGCTACGCTATGCGAGAGACGATCACCGCGCCGAGGTGCCATGCACGGAGTTGGGCCACACTCTCGGCCACGCGTTCCCCACACGTCACGACAAATTTGCCTCGCCACTTGCCGATGCGGCCCATCCTGCCTCGAACATCCTCGGAATACCCCCCTCGCCTCGTCTACGTCCCACAGACCACTGGCATTGCAGCACTCAACCTTGCCACCTGGTGAATACAGACGCCCAGTTTCCATGCTGATCGAAGCGTATGTCATAGCATCGCTAGATCGGCGTGCAGAAACGAGTCTCCGATCAGCGATAGTCATGCTAGTGTTCGTGTACTTCTCTTAGTTTCGGCCGATCTTTTTTTCGCTCGTACGATCGTGATGCCTCGCGGCCGCGACACACGTGACCATCGCACGACGTATACTCAAAGCGAGGCCTACGCGGGACCGGCCTTGACTCGGTACTAGTAATCTCGTTCCAGTCTTTGTCGACTAGACATTTGTGAAACGAAGTACGCCCATGGAATAATTCACGATCCGCATAATATTATTGCATGACGTGAAGTATAGTTCCGTGCGTCATGTTACAGTACTGTTACTATAAATCTTCCAGCTCTATGGTTGCTATCTTTCACATATAATACTTGTACCTTATTGCTTAGTTTTTATTCTTGTCATATTAGTTAGTTATCTATCCTATTTGCAGTGCTACTATGAACTGAGCCTCACATACGCTCGCGGGGAGAGTGCCAGTGAAGATGCCCGCCTAATAGTACTGTTATTCTTCTTATAATTATAATTATTGTTGTTGTTGTTTTTATTGTCATTGTTAGTATATTATTAGCGTGTTTTCGATATGCGTATCGTTCCCTAGCTGAAGGAGCTGCTCACAGCTGAAGATATGTGGTATAAGTACTGTTATTCTTATATGATAATCTATTTAAAATATCATACATATTCATTATGATTAGTTGTTTCACCTTTTTGTTTTTATTGCTCATCGTGGTGCGAGTAGATTATTGTATTCCTACGCGTGAGCTTGGATGCTGGTATAGGCCTATTGCTCTTCACGTTAGAAAGCGCTACCGTCAGCGCTAGCGCGCCTCGCGCTGCGAGATAGCCTCAGTGTCAAGGAATTGGTGGCTTGTTAGTGACTCCTCCCTATTCTTCCCCTGCCACTTAACTCTTTCCTTTCGCATTGAGCTGCGTCAGCTCGTCATGTGTTCGTTGAATTCTTTAGTTTAAGATTCAGTCTGTTAGTGATGATCTATGTACTTGCTGAAGACGCGCGCTCGCCCTGCGCGCACGGAGATGCCTTTAGTGCAACGCATGGTAGGAGTTGTATAAGTCACCATTCCAACATATATCCATTCTTCACTCCTCATAATGTATGAGTGATTAAATCCTCATAATGATAATTCATCTGTTCGATTGTTTGGTTTGTGTACATATTCTCATCCTCGCTGTAGGCGGCTTCGACTCTCACATTGCATCTCGGACCTGCTACCATACAAAACTATTATCTACGAGGCGAAAACCAGCTGCCTCCTGCGCCTGCGAAGCGTATGCAGTGAAGATGGCCTAATCGCTATTCTGCAGTACTCAGTTATGTCTTCTTAAAATACTCTAGTAGAAATTAGTTGCGTTGTTGGCTGTTTGCTCCATTGCTGCAGGCTGCGCGTTGATGGTACATTCGATCGTTATCTCATCTTTTGTCGTAAACGATACGCGCTGTGGAGAGCACGTACTGAGAGGGGGCTTGTGTTTAATGTAATAGTGATGTCATGAATGGGCTGCGATGGGAAGCGCGCCATGATAATAATTATAAAATAAAATCAATATTGTTATTAATAATAATAATGGGTAACAGATCAGGCTGATTTTTAGTCAAGGTATACTTCGTAATTAGATTATCTAAAATTAGTTTATTTGATTATTATTAATAGCTATCTTATTTGTTTTATATGGTGTGTCTAGTTGGTGTAGTATCTTACTCAGTCCAAAGTTAAGTTTTGTCATATCAATCATATTATAATCAACAATTAATTAGCTGACATTAATTAGTCAGGTACTATGATGTAGACTACTATAGCAACTCGATACTAATAATTGTAATATTAATATAATTGATACAAATAATTGAACAATAACAACAACAATAAAATAATTTAATAATAATTAAATAATAATATTTTAATAACGGTATTTACGTGCATCGTTAACCTCTGGTGTGCTTCACCAGGCGGCCGTGCAACGCCTATTATTTGTATTATTGATGACTTGTGTAGTAGATCCACTGCACTACAATGTGCTTATCACCAGACGCCATTTAGCTATCTATACGGTTACTGACAAACCATTTCCATTATTATTATTAATAACAATATTATTATTATTATTACTAATTATTATCATGCCTCTACATCGCAGCCCCATTCCATGGACATCACTATTACATTAAACCACAAAGCCCTCCCCCCCAACGCCCAAAAAATGAACACGAACGGCGGCCGCTGCTGCGGCGGCACTCACGGTTTTCCTCCCGAGAGGGCCGCGAGGGGGCAGGGGCCGCCCTCGTGTGGCGCGCGTGCGGGGTCGAACCGCCGGGCGATGCCATCGGGATCGCCGGTACGCTCGGGGGAGATGTTGTTGTGGGATTCATGCTGCTGGGTAATATGCGGCCGCCGTGCCGACGCCATGGTCGTTTGGACATGGCGTGCGACGCCCGACGCGCTCGGCGGGAAGTTAGGCGAGGATAGGGGGTAGCCATCGACATTCGGACCGGTGCGCAGCGCGCTGGAGCTACTGGCCCAAGCAAACACACCTCGCGTTAAACGCACGCGTACGTCGAAAACATATACATATAATATATACTATATGATCTAGAGTATATTACTACAAGCAATCACACCGGCGCGTTCGCCGCATAGTACATAGTAGAAATCATGTAGAATAGATATGTGGATGTAGACCATTGGTACCGTATATGAAAGTCGTTGCAATGCTGGATATGTTACCATTAACGCCAGAGTAATATGTAGAATTATATTATGGAATGTTAATATATGCGTACGGTTAAGGAAGGTCTGCAAAGCTGAGGTTACTTGTATCACACGCCGTACGTCTTCGTACGTGTGATAGCGCGTCACGTGGCCACCTTGTGATCGAGGTATTGGAAGATGGCATGGCGCGAATAAGAAGTGACGAATAAACTATGTGTGGTATCTTTCACTTCTGAGTATATGTTTACTTACTGGCGTGTTACATGGGTCGGCAGCGTGCTGCGAGCCGGTAACAGACTATCAACAGTGATACGAGTACATCGCGTGAAACTCGTACTTTTTTTAATCGGGGGACAATCGCTGATATCGGTGTCCGACAACCAACCATCGCCAGTTTAGGTCGTCAGCGCAGCCAACAACTACACGGGGCGAACTTGCCCGTGAGCAGGATTATGCGCCGTGCCCTTGTCCGAATGCACCTGGGCTGAGCGTATATCTCGGGTAACTCGTCGAGACAAGTCACGTGACGAGAGTCGGATATCTCAGATACTTAGGACTTATTGCGGCAAGCCTTATACTGACAGACTTGCTCAGACACGTGGCGTGCCTATTCACGCCCCATATCATAGACCTACACCTCCCTGTAAGAGAAGAGTACAGCTAGTGAAATATCATGTGAATACAGACCGAGTAGTACAAGTCTAATCTACGTTATCATGTCGACTGTAAATGATGCACAGCATAATATTTTAATCTACTTCTAATATTTTTGGTTATTTGTTATCAAGGTCGGGAAATAATTCTATTATAAACATTCCTAAATTACGTGTGCTTTGGCGTCCAGCTCGACCGTTAAGATGGGTATCAAGTGAACGTTTAATTTTAATTTTCGTGGCAAACCCTAGTTTTGCCACATTCGTCGTGGGCATCAACCGTAGACAGGGGACTATAAGAGCAAGAATATGTACAGTCTGTAGACGTCTACTAGTTACGTACCAAGCTTCTCTAGGGGGTGTACGTGATTACAATAACCACGGATCAATGAACTCTGCGCCGTTACTTTAATTAATCTACATAGCACCATGTATGTGCATTACAATTATGTTACATTGCCTTCTAGTATTTTTTTTAAACATATAATAGAGTGTATTTTAAAGCACAAGTGTTTCGCCGGTCGGTGATGATGATGATGATGTGTTAAGTGCTCATGTAGTTGATTATTACGACTGTGTTAAACAGCGCTTACTTTAAATGGCCTATAGTTTCGTCACGTATGATCGGTACACAAATGGGCATATGTAGCCTACTGGTTAGAGGGCACATATAAGCAGAGAGATTCTTGTGCGATATAAAATGCTGTATGAGCAGTTACCACCTCGCGGATATTTGCAGTACAACAAGTACAAGTAGTAGGTGTAGTTTTATGTAGATGGATCGAATGAAAACTGAATTCATCACTTGGTTTTGATGATTTAGTTTGTACATCATTACGGTATCCATCACACATACGTTTGTGGAGGAAGTTGACAATTGAGTGGTTAGTATGCCTCCACAGATCGTGCGTATCCATAGTATGGGGCTGGACCGGAATGAAGATGAAATATGTACCGGGCCGAAAAAGGGGATGACCTTGCCCGCAGCAGCGCACAGCAGCAGGGAAATTGTTACTGGACACTGCCAACTACTGTACAGGAAGCGATGCACAGTTAGGGTATTATATGTGACCAATACTAGTAAAATTTTGGTGAATCGCGGGTCCTGTTGTTTTACCTGTCAGCTGTAGCGATGATGCGAATAATTATTTATTGGAAGGAGGTGATTGGGAACTTTTTATCTAGTCTACCAGACAAAAGAGAATGTGGGAGAACTACTCCATCCGCATCCCTAGTTTAGAGCACCGAGGCCACAGTCGGATACGTCGTTGTATCTCGCAGAAGTCATGATATTTTTTCAGAATGTTCATATGTCAGGGCGTGCCACCATGATGTGATACATCTACATATTGGTTTTTTAGGCGGGCTAGTACCAGGGCTGATTATGGTACAGGATCTATAAGTCTTGACTTGATTTTACATCTTTGAGAAGTCTTTTCATTTGTGATTCCCAAGACGTATAGTATGCAATTTATAATCTATGTCAAGTTCAGG